TAACATTTCAAATACCTTTAAAATAGTCCTGGCAAAAATTATTAAATAAGGTATTTTTAAATAAAAGAAAATTTGTAATCAAAAGATATAGAGCTTAAATGTTATTATGGAATGTAAAACAAAAAAACCATTATATCAGTACTAACTGTTAGTAAATCCTTGGTGTTAACAGTAACACAAATTTTATTAAAAGAAAAAAAAAAATCACATCAAATATTTAGAATTTAACGAAAGGGCCACAATTTTTCTTTCAACTTAATATCAACTTGACTTTCATAAAAAAAATAATATAACAACAAATACAACTAAAATTTATGTTAAAAAATTATGATTGATGTTTAAAATTATGTTAACTGCTAATTCTGAATAATCAATCATAATATGCGGATCGTTAAGCAAAATACAACCATTTACTACATAAAGTTCTGAACTCTAGGTGTAAAAATCCAAAAAAAAAAAAAAAAAATTTTCTCCTTGTAAAGTAAAAATGCCTTCTCATTTAAAATATTAATCCTTTTGCGACCCACTTTCGTTTCCTGTTACATATAGTATAACATGGCAGCTATATGGATTATGCTTTCATGCCTCTTATCCTTTTACTCGAACTATTGTAATTCTTAAAAGTCAATTTTTTTTAATTTTATTTTTCAAAGAAAAAATGTTTAAGTTATTACAAAAGTTTATATAGTTATACAGTCGGTAAAAAGGAAAAAATAAAATTGTTATTTATTACAAAAGACGAAAATTTTTACAAAAAAAAATCTAATAGGAAATTAAGGTTTAATTTTAACTCAGCAACAGGAAAAACAAAAACAAGAAGAAAAATTATTATGCTTATTTAAAAATAATGAAGACAAATATTTTCTTTGGAAGGTCTTTTTATATACATACATATGTACACATGTATGATGATTAAAATGTAACGTTAAATTTACTGAAAGAACCGAACCGCAAGGAAATTGAATGAAAGATATTAATTTCAAAATTAAAATAATTTGTTTTTCTTCCTATAGACTAGACCAAAAATAATTATATTAAAATTATTGATTCCATAAAATTTTATTAAATAAAATTGTTTATGTTAAAATTTATTTGTATTTTTTCTTAAATCAAGAGAACACAGAGCTTCAATTGAACTCAAGTAACAAAATTAAATTCAGGTCAAACCTTGTCATAGACATACATGTGAGAGATGATTTTAACAATTTTAAAAACTCTGTTTAAAGTTAAATGTTAATTTAAAAGTTCATCTTGAATAACAGGCTGATTATTTCGTAAAGCAAAGAACAATGAATAGTTGGATGGGTTACGTAAAAATTAATGAAAAATCCACCTAGTTAAAGTATAATGATTTAAGTATTTCAATATTTACTTAATATACTTAATTACTTGGCAGTAAAGCTTAAAAATTATCATTAATCGATAATAGAACGTTTTAAGGCATTGTTCGAGGAGCTTTAGAGGATTTCATTTTTGAAAAAGATTTCATATTATTACAAATAAATAACGGCAACGGTTTATCGTTTTATTAATTTCTTTATAAGAATATAATAGGGATTCCTTTATATACTTTCAGAACAGATGGATGACGTAAACAAAGGAACGAGTTGAGGCAGAAAAACTCGAATGAGTGAACTACTGCTTTGTAGGCGGAAGGTCACATCTAAGATTTCATATACTCGTATTTATTTTATCAAAATTCGTTACGAAAAATCTGTAGAGTAAAAATTGCTTAAAAAAAATTCATGTAAAATTTATACTAGTTTAGAAAAAATTATAATTTCGGGAAATTTTCGGAGAAATGCAATTTTAAATTTATTAAATTTTACAATTGGGGAACGAAATGCTACAAAATATAGCTTGTAAAAAAAGTGCCTACGTCACTTCCAAAATATAGAAATACTTTTTGTTTTGCTGTAGGTCTAACGTTCCTTTTTAAATTTTTGACGTACCGTATTAGATTCCGGGAAATTAGGGTTCAAATCGGGAAATTTTTGGTCGTTTTGTTGTAACAAGACAATATAAAATAAAACCGTAACAAAACGTAACAATATCGTGTGAACTTTAAGTACTTAATATACATTTCTTAAAGAATTTATGTTTTGATTGCAAAAATTTATTATACTGTATAAAAAAACTTTTAAACATAAAACACTCTGGAATATAGAAAAATAAATTCCACTTGAGAATTAATGAATATCCCTATATACTCAGCTTCTCCTGAATATTTATGTTCTCTTTTACAACTCATATTTTCATCTACTATACGACACATATATATATATAATTTCTTTATGTGCAATTGAAATGCATATCGGTACGTTCTTCTTTTTAAAAACAAGAACTATGCAAAACAAAAAAAAAATCTCTAATTAGATTTGTTCACAGAACAAGAAAAACTACAACATAAATTTTTAAATATGTCTCGTCTTCCATCATAAATCATAAACTAACTTCATTTTAATTTTAAATGAAAATATCCAAGAACATATTTTTGGAATTATAATGAATCCCAGTGTAATTAATTTGAAGAAATTTTAAAAAATTACGTACAGATTCCATACATAAGAAGCAATATTTTTAGTGTGAAAATTACAAGATCTTTTTTATACAATAATTAGATTTGTACAATAATTCAATACAAATGTGGTATATATCAGTAGAACAGATTTGAAGACGTACCATATTGTTTATATTATCTTAATCCTCATATATACTAATTGATAATACTTTAATGCAAAATGTTCTAATATATAGGGGAAAATAATAAAAATGTTCGTGTAACCGGAAACATTAAGCTAGATATTATTGCAAGAGATTTATATTCAAAAGAATTGAAAAATGTTATCAATTGTCAATGTATTATAATCAAATTAAAATCCATCAAAAGAAATTTGTAATTGAAATATCCATATGTGAAAAATAGCCAGTCGAAAATGCTATAGCATAAGAATTATTTTATAATTGTCTCGAAATGAAAATATTTCTTTTCAACTTCAAAAGTTTTCCCAAATGAAAAAATAAATAAAAAAGTAATTCCCACTTATCAATGTGATTCATTGTACCTTTGTTATAAAATTTTATATATAACGCATACTCTTGGATTTCGAATAAAAAAAAAAGAAATGCAATAATAATACTCAAAATACAACATCCTTATATTTTTAACATACATGAGTATATGTTTATAGGCCCATTCAAAGGGAACAAAATGTGTATATGAAATGGATACTTGTGAATCCTTGTGTACGTCTCGTACACTTAATATTTCACATTTATACAATAATTTTTTATGTTTCTTTGTAAATATTTAATAAAATAACATCCTGTTGAGTTTTACATTTTTCCTTTTTGAGCATTTGAAAAAGAAAAATTGTTTTTTTTTGTTTTATTCTTACTTATTATATCTGTTTTATGGGAATGTTTGGCTGTCGCTTTATTGAAAATTTAATAAACATAGGAACAGATTTTCGAAAATATCGCATTTATAGAAAATACTCGTAACAGTAGTTATGTCCTTAATAATTCATAATTACAATAAATTAAGATCAGTAAAGTTTAAATGAGTAGGTTTTGTAATCTTCAACTCGGACGGGCGAGTCCAACTAAAAATCACATCAAATTCTAGTTAAACAAAATTATTAAAAAAAAATTACAACCAAACTAATTTGAAACCTTGCAAAAAACAAAATGTAATATGCAAATTTAGTCTACTGCCTTAGTATCACATTTAAGACTACATTTTAAAAATGTTGTTCTAAATAAACACCTTAAATTTATTTCAGACTTGCTTTAAATTTCACATGTTCTTCTTTCTTCTCTCTATCTTTTTTTTCATAATATAAATTCTACACATTTGCAACATTTTATAAGTACATATATATAAAGATATGGTATTCTCTCCAGGTTATGTATGAATTTACAAGATACATATTAAAACTGAGGTCGTTCATTTTTTTACCTCTAACTTTATATGTGCAAGTACTTTAGTTTTTGTCCTTTTTTTTATGAAATATTCAACATCAAAAAGAATAACCAATTCATAATTCTTTAAAAAATATTTAAATATTTTTAATAACCCACATATAAAATCAAAATAGTTGAACTAGAAATATGTATAATGGGTAATGTATGACAATTTAAATTTAAAAAAACACAATAGAATATCTTAAATTTTAAAATTTTAAATAGATAAAATTTAATTATAAGAACATTTTTTAAAAATTTTAAAATATTTAAACAAAGTTCTTTAACAAAATTGTAATTTATTTAATATAAAATGCAAAAATAAAATCGTTATATTTTAACAAGATTTTACGATATTCTCTTTTTTGTAGACTTTAGTTTCTCTGTACTCTTTCTACTTAAATTCTAAAATCATAATCAAACTCACTCCACTATATATTTCAATTATACGAGTGCATAGGAACATGAAAAAAAATAAATATTTTAGAAATTTTAGAATACACTCAAGCATATTTATCTTAAATATACAAAGTTTAATCCGGATGAGAAAAATTCTAAGAAACTGAAATTTTTCGTTCCTTTGGTTTTTAATCGATCTATTAAAGTAAAACTTAAATCCCGCTTTCAACAAATTGCAAAAATATGTTCTTTTATAGATTTTTTTTTTCCCTGTTCTAAAGGAAAAAACAAAACTCTATTAAAAAAATTTAGTTGTAGAAAATATTGCGCTCGTACTAACACAAATATAATTTATTAGAGAGTAAAATTAAAGAAATTCAACTTATTGGATAATTCATTAGACCGGAAGAAATAATAGTTTCATTAATAACAGTTCTCTTTTTGTTATCCGAGCAATTCTTACCTGTTATGTTTTAGTATGAAAACAATAAAATTATAAAAATTTTGACTTTTAAATTTTATGAATTTCGCATAGAACAAAACTTGATTGACGCAACTCATAAAATACAAATTGTTCGTTTATTCAATTTCTTAAACTAGATATAATATATATATATATATATATTGACAATTACCTTAATAAAATTGCATAATACAAAATTATAATATTGTATTTAATCGAACAGTTTTTGTTTTTGCTATTTAAAATATTAATCGAACATATCTTTTTAAGTTTGATCAAAAATAAAAAAAACGTTTACTGTAAATATATTAAATTATTTTTTTAAAATTGACTAAAAAGATAAGTAAAATTTGTAAAAAAAAAAAAGAAAACAAAAAATTAATTTTAAAAAAATATAATTTAATATTATTTTTTTTTAATTTGTTCAAATATTTTCAATTTGAAATTAAATTTTAATTTTAAAATCTTATCAAACATGTATATCAAACAAATTGAAATTATTTTTCAAATTTTTGTTCTAATAATTTATAATTATTTATTAAAACGAAATTATAAAATTTAACACGAATTATTTAAATACAATTACAATGAGAGAAAATAAAAAAAATTGTTCTAAAACTTTTTTATTGCAATTAATTTTAATTTTTATATAATCATATCGAACATGTATTACACTATATTTATGTCGGTTATGCATAAAACACCATATTTTATTACCTGTAACTAAACTATGTATGTATAATACTATTAATTCACTTCATTATTTAATTAAATTATAATATATTTATTAAAATTCGAAATATTAGAATTTTTTTAGTTTTATTTAATATAAAATATTAAGTATTTTGCTGTTATACAGTTAATAATATTATTTAAAAATATTTTATTTCTAAATATTACACTTATATATTTATTACTTTTTTCAATTTAATATTTTCTAATTAAAATATTTTACATTATATATTCAAATATAAAGTTTAAAAGTTTAAAACACAAAATATGTTGATTGAAATTTATATATTAATTTTTATAATTAACAAATTTTTTATTAATTTAATAACATACAGACACATGTAGATGAACATTTATAATTATATTTAATTGTATTTTATTCTTAATAAATTCTAATTTTAAAATAATAATTCCTAGTATAAATTTTCCTTTTTCGAATTAAATTTCAATTTTATTATTGTAAATTTGAAAATTTTATTCTTCAAATTTTTTATTTTAGATTTAATATTAAGAGAAAGTTTTTGTTTTTCTTTGTAATTTTAAATTATCTATTATAAAATCAATAATTTCATTAAATTTTGTTTATTTAAAAATTTTTACATTATTATTTTAAGAATATCATAGAAATTCTTTTACATTCTTTCTATTTGATTTATTTATAATTAATTGAAATTTTAATTGAAATTTTTATTTATATTTGCTTACTTATCATATAATTATAAATTTAAATTTATTTTTCAATTTCTCAATTCTTAAATATTCTCAAAGTTTACATTTCAACTATTTTTTTATTGTTTTATTAAATTAAAATCCATCTGGTATTTATTTTTTATTATAAAAATTATTCTGCTTATTTAATTTATAATTAATGTAATCATTTATTTTATTAATATACATACATATATACAAAATTTTTCAAAAGAAAATATTTTAAAATATTTTTAAAAATATTATTTAAAAAGAACTGAAAATATAAAAAATTTTAATATCCGCGACACAATATGAATATTTCTCGAATACAATAAGATTTTCTTTCTTGTTGCTTTTTTTTCTTTTTTTTTGATAAAAAGTTACATTAAAATTTTCCGCTCAATTTCATTTAAATTCTCACTGTAATTCAAAAAATATAAGTGTACATGTATATGTAGTTAAATAATTTTTTTAATTTTTTTTTAAACAGTATACAATAATCCGAAATGCCACAACAAAACTTAACAACATTCAGAATGAAACTGTTGAAATTCTAATGAATTAAAACTAAAATTCCGTAAGCATATCGAAAAAAAAATAAAAAATAAAACAAAATCAAAATGAAGAAAAAAAACTTTAGAAATTGTAACAAAAAAATAAGTGAAAAATATTTTTACTTTTTCTCATTTTTACAAAAACAAAAAAAAAACAGTGTGATTTATATACACACATATATGTGTATGTATTTTCGCATATTACAATTTTTATATATATATATATATATTTATATTACGTAAATATGATTGTTTATTGTAGAAATAGCATGTAACAGGAACAAAAATTGTTGAAAATTGTTGGTAGAATTTGTTAGAAACAAATTCCTTTGCAACAACATTATCATCAAGTTTCTCAACATTTATATACAAACATTTGTTGTATGAAACAATTTATATTTATATAATTGTGTATTTATACACAATTACTCATTTAAATAATAATGTAATGTAGATATATTTATTATATACAGTATAGCTATGTACATAATTTCAATAAAAATATTTAGTACCCGGTATGTTGAATATAATATACTTATATACATATTTAAATTGAACTTGTTATGTACTCTATTGTACACTAACAAACACTTGTATAATGTAGGAACGACCACAATAATTTTGTATGATATACGTCATCAAAAATTTTCAGATTTCCAATACACACACGCACACACACACAAAAATACCAATATTGAAATGGAGTAAATATATAAATAGGTGAAATAATAAATGTTATATATATATGAATAGGTGAATAAATGTTATATATATATGAGTCCATACTATATATTATATTTCTGCAATGGAATCCAGTTACAAATCTACATAACATAGAAAAATAAAATTCAGTAAATTTTGCAGACGAATGCGTAATGAACAATCAAGATCTAAAATAAGTAAAAATTTTTTTATTTTGCAGACATCTGCAGAATATCAAAATAAATGTATATATTTTGTATTTGTATTATTTGTTTTTGTAGTACCGTTATTGTTATCCTTTATGAATGAAATTTTCCCCTTAACTTATTATTTGTTGTTATTTTTATTATTATTGTTGTAGATATTGCTGTTGTTGTCCCTTTTTTTTTTCTTTTTTAAGTACAAGAGTATGGAAAAAGAAATGAAAAATGTTTGAAATTCAATTGAGTAGAGATTTGAGGAAGAAATAAAAACAAAAATTAAGGATTCAGTTTTTTTTCTTAGATTTCCCGGAATGTGTGTAAAATTTTTTATTTTGTTTTATTATTTGGTTTCTGTTCTATTCTTTTAGAATTTCAGTCTAGTTTTTATGTTGAAAATTTTTGTTTGTTTTTTTTTTTTTCTTTTCAAAGAAGACAAATTTTTAACTACGTTTTTTATTCTTGTTTGTTTTTCTTTCCTTTATTCATACACAGCGTAACTGTTATTCTTCTTATTGAAAATTGTTTTACTTCTAATACTCATGGTAAATTACTTGGAATTTTTTTTTTAATATTTTCTTCGTTTTCGTATAAAGGTAAATAAAACACATTGGTTCAACATTTTTGGTTAAATGTTGCATTTAATTACTTTTGTGGATGTAAAAAAAATAAACAAAATAATAAAAGAAGAAAAATTAAAAAAAATTTTTTAAGAATATAAATTAAAACCCAAAAAAAAAATCGAAACCATGAAATACAAGGAGCGATAAATAATTTATAAGAGAAAAAGAGTGCAAATAATGCTCGTTAATTAGAGATGAGATATTTAAATATGAAAATTTCTGTAAAGAAAAAATTTATATAACGGTACTTTTTTTGTAACAATTGTAACGAATACCACATTTAAACATGTGTTACAAATTTTAATTTAAACCGTTATAAGTGTACATAGACAAAATTGCTTCTAAAAAATTTTTTAAAAATTGAAAATATTTTCCAATTTGCACATCCGATAAATATTCATGGTTTACCACAGACACAACGTATATAATATATAAGAATAATACATATATACCTAGAACTTATGCGCCATCATAACTTTAACTTTTCTATTCATTTCCTATCTTAGAGTTACTTTCAGCTCAGAGTATTATGAGCAAGTTGTCTTTTGTTCAAGACTAATATACATTTTTGTATTCTTGCTCCGATAAAGGATATAAAGTCTGGTCTAAGTATTTTGGTATTCTAGATACAAATCACGGGTATATGTAGGAATATGAAATATTCATATTGAATTTAATTTTATTATGAATACTCATTGTCATATTCAAATGAAAAATTAAAATAGTAACATGTATGATTTTTTGTTTTACAGACTATATTTTAAATGGTCAAATTCACCAAATTTATTGAAAAAATTTTTAAGAATTTCTCATACATATGTGTAAAATTTAGAATTCAAAACCAAATGACGTTTTGGAGACAATTTGAAGTATGCCTGTATGTTCGCAATTGAGTGTGTTTAAGATTCAATAAAATCAAAGTAGAATTTGAAAAATTTTTAATTGATTTCAAAAGAAATTTGTAGTTTTTTTATTCTCCTCGCAATAAAGATAAAACTGTCAAAGTAAAATATTGTAATTTAAAATTAATTAATTTTAAAAATATTAAATTTTGTTAGACAAATTTTTTTAATTTCTCTATATTTTACCAAACAACTTAAGCAATATATTATTCGTCATAAAAACTTCATAACCTTTAAAAATTTTGCATTCTTCTTTATACTATATAAATAAAAATGCAATACATAAATACATATACCTCACATAACTAGTATATTTACAGTTATTTATGACTTATATAGAAAAACGTTTGAAATATCTAAAATTTTGAATTATTATTCAAAATGAAATCGCCTCCGATTATCAAGTATATATATGCACTGAAAAATTTTAAATAAAACCACAACCATAAAAAAAAAATAAATAAATAAAATAAAAACTAAATTATAAACACCTTGTATTAAAAAAAAAAAAATCTTAAAGAAAACCATACCATAAATTTTACTTTTATTTTTCGCTCAGGGAAAGAAAAACTTTTTAACAACGGCGCATTAATAAATAGTATACAATAACAACACCAACAGCAGAAACGCCAGGAACTCGTTATTTATTATTATCGGGAACTCGTTTATATATTGGTATAAATTTAAATATCGATATACTTATATATTTAAATCCGTTTTATACATAGATAACAAAATAAATATGTAGCTACACAAAGACTATATATGAGAATGACTATTGTATAAAAAAAAAAAGAAAAATATTAGGTTGCCTACGGATATGCAATTTTTTTCTTTTTCTTTTTGTATTTTGTAGCATTGTTATATAAAATTACGTGATAAGAATCT